TGTACCTCTGGTGCAAATTACTGACCTCTGTCATCATTTTAGGTGGGGGAACTTGCACAATCGGTGGCTGACTAAATACTTTTTTGCCCCACTGTATTTCTGGGTTTAACCAGTGACTCTGTATGCAAACAGCAGGCTCTTGTAATAACACTCTGAACAGCTCCTACTCCACCATCACACATCAACAACTACAAAAAAAACATGCACTTAATTCCTTCTTTGCAATAATGTGATGAATATTTCTCATTTTCTGGGACAGTCTGAAGAGATATCTTTTCTGCTTAAAACAGTTTCAATGTTTGTTCACATTTTGCCATCAGGTTCGACATAGAAGATAAAATCTCTGTTCTAGCCATGTTTGCAGAGAGATAACTGAAACATGTCTCTAGAGATTGTGTATAAACGTCACTATATCCACTAAAGGGAATAAACATGAACTAAAAATACACCACAGGCCACAATAAGGTAATTGTACTCGAGTATCACAAGCATGTGTGACTGAACGTTTTCAGACTGCTGACCCAGAAGAGGGACCGCAGCTCTCCTTGCATCAGAAGCAAAAAATCTCTATCTCTAAATCTCTGTATTGGTTCACAGGTATTCACATACAATTTGACCCATTCCTGATTTCTTAGGTTTTTGCACATTTGTCACACGTTTCACATCATCAAAGACGTTTTAATATCAGATGGAGGTGAATTTTTAAATGTTTTTTTTAAAAGTTTATAAATGACGATTTCATGTATTAAGGGGGGACAGCGATCCAGAACTACCTTTTTCACTACCTATGTGAAAAAGTAAAATCATGAATTAACTGCGATCAGCCACATTTTTTGGAAAGCTGATTTCAACTGTACTACATTCAGACCTGATTACTGGCAGAGCTGCTGAATTAGAAATCACTAAAATAAAAGATGTCTGACAAACTGAAGTAGGCTGAAAGATCTCATAAAGCAACACACTGTGTCTCAATCTAATGAAGCTAAAGAACAGAACAGAAACAAAGCCACTGACATTCATCAAACTGGAAAGGGTTACAAAGCTATTTCTAAGGCTTTGACACTGCAGTGAACCACAGTGAGAGTTAGCATTGACAACTCATCCACGTGTTAACAAAACAACCCAGAACAACATGTGAAGAACTGCCGGCTCAGTGTTTATGATTCAACAACAAGAAAGAGAGTTTGCAAAACTTGTATTCATGCGAGAGTTCCCACGCGAAAACTACCACTGACCAAAACATTCCGTGAGCCAAAAGCTGAGCTTTCCTAAAGGTTTGAATCCCGTTACATGCGGCATCAAACTAAAAACATCATTTCATAAAAAGAACATCATACCAGCAATCAGTCATGGTAGTGTTAGTGTGATGGTCTGGGTCTGCTTAGCTGCTTCAGGACCTGAACGACTTGCTGTAAATGATGGAACCATGAACTCTGCCCCACACCAGAAAATCCTGAAGGAGAATGCTCATCAGTTCATCAATTCAGGCCCTGAAGCACAAACTCACTTGAGTTACGCAGCAGGACAAAGATATGAAACACAGCAGCAAGTTCAGCTATGGATGGGTCACAAACAAAACACATGAAACTACATGAAGGTTTTGGAGTGACCTAATCAAAGTGAAGATGTGAAAGAGTCACTGCAACAGCTTGTCTGCAGTTCTTGTGCACAACCAGCAATTAAGTTTAAGAGCAATTACTTTTTCACAAAGGCCAGGTGGGCTTGGATTGCTTTGTAAATGATCATTGGATTTGCATTATGAAATGCAAACGTGACAAATATGCAACAAACAAGACATCAGGAAGAGGCCAAATACTTTTTGATTGCACTGCCTCTTCAGCTGCCAAATGGCAGAATCACAGTTCACTGCAACTGCAGGCAACACTGCCAGCCACCGCCTCCATTGCAGTGGTGAAAACTGTGAGTATGTGAACTCATGATTGCTCTGTGGCAACACTGACATACCAGCAACATTTCAGGGGAATTATTACGAGGAACTGCACATTATCACACACACTGAGCTCAGATAAGATAAAAAATGTCATTGATCCCTATGGTTGCAATGCACACCCCGTGGTGCGGTTGTGAAATGAAAGGATTTGGTTTTTCTTCTTCCCGTGTTGCACAGTTTGACGAGGTAAAACTTTGTAAATGCCGCTGGGAAAGATACTCATTAGAGTGGCCTGTGAAAGTACAATAATTGTGGATGGCAAAAGAAATTAGTATAAAGGTTAGTTAATTAGGAAGCTGGCTGTTGCAGAATATGCTCTATGACTTAATGCATATTAGTCACCTACATGCAAATATGTCCTGCACTGTTCATAGCTGGAAGGCATGTGTGAAAAGGGCTCTGTGTATACATCATTCAACATACAAAGAAAATTAACTGGATCAAATGAGCTTGATACACCTAATACCTGAATTGAATCCTATGCTGCTTCTCTTCTATTATATGTGTACTTTTCTTCCTAGCAAAACTTAAAATAGCTCCAGTTCATTGAAGATTCAAATTCAAATTCATTCTGTGGCACACAGCCTAAAAAATATGAATAAAAAAAAATCAGTAGCCCTGTTGTGTAGAATCAAAGTCTCTGTTATCTTCTAGTCATAAAGCCACTGTGCCTGGCATTCACTACACTCATCATCATGCTGTCTCATCAATGCTCCAGTGGTTAAACCCTTTATATAACGATGCAGTATTGTCTCAAAAGGTTGGATGGACTTGTATTATACAGTGATGATGAAATAGGAGCCACCTGATTTATTTCTAAAGCTTTCCTGCCAAGGCTTTAAGAGTGCTTCACATCTCATCTCCATTTATATTATCAACAGGAACGTACAAGTCTTGGGAAAAAACACCAAGTGCACTATTCACTGCTGTTAGGATCAAACTGCTGTTAGAGGCCTACAGTTAGTATTTAGACTTGTTCTGCCTCAGTATGCTATTTGAAGAGTTTTCACATTCATTCGGGAATTTAACAAAAATATAAAGAACACTAATTCCAAAACAGATTACACAAGGGAGTTTGCATGTTCTCCCCGTGTTTGCGTGGGTTCTCTCCGGGTACTCCGGCTTCCTCCCACCGTCCAAAGACATGCAGCTTGTGGGGATAGGTTAATTGATTAATCCAAATTGTCACTAGGTGTGAATGTGCGAGTGAATGTGAGTGTGAATGGTTGTCTGTCCCTGTGTGTTAGCCCTGCGACAGACTGGCGACCTGTCCAGGGTGTACCCCGCCTTTCGCCCTATGACAGCTGGGATAGACTCCAGCGCCCCCCGCGACCCTGAAAAGGATAAGCGGAAGCGAATGGATGGATGGATTACACAATAGGGCAATAAAGTGTCCCTGCTCACTGTAGATCTCAGTGGACCTGCTAAAGGTTTTACATCTTTCTTTGATACTTTTTTAAATTTTTCAACACATTATCCATGTTTATGTGATATTGTTGAGACATTGCAAAATATATCAAAATTAAATGAAACAAATAAAAAAACAAAACAACATAATTACAAAAATAAGCGCAGCAGGGAAACAAGTTTGTTTCCCTTTCATTGAGTTCAAAAACGGGCCTTTAAAGACGGACCTCAACCACAACACAAGGTTACCTTTCAAAATAAAAGCAAAACAAAATAATCCGCACTGAAAAATGCACAACAAAGTTTACGACGCCACTTTGTGAAAACGTTAAGTTGAGCTGACAATTAGGCAGATAATAGCCTACTCCGAGAAGCTCCCTCACATTACGAATACGTTTCTTCTTTAAATCTCCGCTAACAGCGTAACTGTACGTCAGTTACGCGGGTTTGGAGCTCGCGCGTGGTCGACGCACGTACGTGGAGCTGGAACAGAAATTAAGCGAACTGTCCAAGAAACACTGAAGAAAAACGTTTTCTTTCGTTTCGTTCACTCAATTCTGACAACAGCCCCGCTTAAACACCGTCATCAGGGACAGAGAGTCCCCGTCTCCTTACATCCAGCTGCTGTTTGGTGGCCTGCGTTATTCCACAGAACAGCAGCAGGTGAGTCACATCGGGTTGTTGCTAGTTTCTGTTCTCTGAAACGGTTCCAGGCTGCTATGCCATATACAGCGTCTCTGGTGCTGTTTTTGTCCTCCACGATGAAAACAAACAAACATAAAAATGATTCGTGTTTATCGTTGAAAACGGCCAGCACTCAAACAGGTTTGGCGGCTGTGTTTACGGCAGGAACATTTCCTTGTCCCGTTGCGTCTTTGTAATATGTATACAAATCACTGCGCATGCGCGAGACACGAGCTCTTTTTTTGACGAGCTAAAGCTTAGGTCCTCGTGTACCGTTTGTGTACTAATGACGACAGTTGGTTACAGTGTGACACAAAGACATTTTGAAGACATTTCAAGCTCTTAGTCTTCTTTTAAAATAGATAAATTGTGTCCTGAGACTTCCTGTGCATATTTACGGCAGTCACAAGTTTATGAAATTTTTTATCTCATTCCTTTTTTTTCAATTAGATGAAAGAAGCAATGCCTGAAAAACATGTCTCACAAAGAAGATAACGAGGAGAAGAGGCGGTAAGGAGTACAAACAAACAGCATGACACTTTCAATAGCCCTTATTAACGCACTGGGGAAATCACTGCATGTAAATGAAGTACACACTTTTGACTTTCCTCTTTCAGCTGCCACCGCACTGATTTGTATGCCAGCATCCCTCGAACATGTCTGCCTATTGTGTACCACCCAGACTACAACATCACTTTTATGGGCCTTGAAAAGCTTCATCCGTTTGATGCGGGAAAGTGGGGAAAAGTCATCCGCTTCTTGAAAGGTAAGCGAGTGAAGAACAGAGTGGCAGATGGGGAGGATATCTCCCTGAGCTGATGAACACTGAAGCACTCAGACTGAGGTCATAAAGGCGAAAAGAGCCGGAGAACAAAGCAGAAACAGTGGAAGAGGTAGTTGTAGTTGAAGAAGAGGGAGTAGGGGAGGCAGAGCAATAGAGCACAGATAATTAGAGAAAAGTCCCTGTGGGAGTTTGTGCAGGTATAGTGGATGAAGGCCAGTGTGGTTTTGGAGGCTGAGGGAAAACAGTTGCTGGATAACTGGCATGACTTCACACCGAGCTGTTGTCAGGCTTCACGGTGGATCATCTGTGCTGTTAAACGTGTCGCACGCAGCTTAATGAATTCACAAAACTTTCAGAAGTTAAGAGTGCAAATAAAGAGCTGAGCTTGTGCTGACAGAGGAAAACCTTGGTTTTTCTAAATTTAGCCATGCAGTAATTGGAAGAAAACTGGATGATATTGCAGAATTACTCAGCATATTTAGAGAGTGATACAAAGGAACTGGTTGTGCACTGGGTTTTTAATGAGCCCTCTGTGTTACGTCCAGAGTTGGAAGCCAATTTTGGACCACCGCGTTTCAGCAGTCTAAGGGAATAACATGTAAAATGGCCCACAATTGACCGGCTGGTGCTCATCAAAAATAACCTACGCTTCTTGATATAGTGACATTAATTTATAATGAAACTAAAAATTTAAACTCCATGCTTTTAAGCAGCTACTTTGGGACTGTTTCTGCCTGATTTTACAAACCTCTCTTTAATCCTTTATCACTTCTTATGCAAACACTACAGCTCCATGGCTTCATGGTTAACGGTTTAAATTTTAGCATTAAATAAAAAGCACAAGTTGCCTAAAATATTTATCTCTAAGAATTAAATGAATCCAAAAAACATTTTTGTGGTGCACTTTCTTTGAAGCTACAGTACTTGACAAGTATTGTACTTATCAGTTCAAAATTGATTCAGAGAGGTTAGCTGGCCTGTCTGTTCAGGTCTGTGTTTTCACCAATCGCAGCTATGAATTCATAGTCACACACACAACCATACACAGTATGACATGAGGTGAAATGCTTGTAGCTGTGCAATGCAATGCCCAACCATTAAATGACAGTGGTTTTACAGTACAATTTACAGGTTATACAAAATTTACAGATTTAACTTAGAAATTTACAGTAAAAAATGTGCAAATAGCAGAAAGAGATTATAAATTATAGGAAGTGTGCATGAAGAAAAACCAGTGTATGTGGAGATGTGATGTGTGTGGGAGAGTCCAGTCCTACACCTGGTTCAGGGCCCGAATAGCCTGGGGGAAGAAGCTCCTCCTCATTCTCTCTGTTTTGGCCTTAAGGGAGCGGAAGCGCTTCCCAGACCATGACAGGTCCTGAGTGATGTGGACACGCAGGTATCGGAAACTGTCCACTCTCTCCACTGGCGTGCCACTGATGATGAGGGGCTTGTAATTCCTTGCCTGCTTTGTAGTGAAGTCCACGATCAGCTCCTTAGTCTTGCTGACTTTAAGGAGGAGGTTATTCTCCTGGCACCAGGTCTCCAGGTTCCTAATGTCCTCTAGGTAGGACGTCTTGATGTTGTCGGAGATCAGTCCCACAACAACAGTGTTGTCAGCAAACTTGACAATGGAGGTACTGGACGGTAGTCACTGTGGCAAGCGGGCTGTTGTTTCTTTGGAACAGGGACAATAATGGACTGTTTGAAGCACGTGGGAACCACTGCTTGGGCCAGGGAGAGGTTGAAGATCTCCGTGAACACCGGTGCTAGTTGATCAGCGCAGGCTCTCAGGACCCGGCCAGGGATTGCATCTGGTCCTGCTGCCTTCCTGGTGTTCACCCTCCTGAAGGTGTTCCTCACGGCACGCTCTGTGATGATGAATGCATTGTCTTCACTGGTGCACTCCGAGCGCACGCAGCCGTTTGTTGTTTTAATTCCTGCGGCGTCGAAGCGAGCGTAAAACGTGTTCAGCTTATCAGCCAGCGAAGCGTCAGCATTCATCATTGAAGAAGATGGTCGTTTATAGGCCATTATTGTCCGCTGTCTGCCTTTCTGACCGCACTGTGCACGTTGTAAGACGCAGCCTTGTATAGGTCCATATTACTGGAGACGAGCCCTTCATTGTAGGCAGCGGTGCGTGATCTCAGAGCGTCGCGGATGTTTTTATCCACCCACGGCTTCTGGTTGGGAAACGTTTGGATGATAGGTCTTTCTGCTGTGTCGTCCGCTAGTTTCCCGATAAATCCCACAACCGCTTCCGTAAACATGCTGATGTCATCAGAACTGTTGAGTTTTCAACAGTTCTTTTTTTATTGCAATTATTGAAATAAAAATTGTGGCGAACAAACCATAGACCATGTGCTTTCTCATGTAATCTCTTAAAAGAATATACATGCATTTGTATGTATAAACAATGTATATAGTGCAACACTGAGGTTCTGGATGCAAAAGTCCCATTCATATTCTCCATAGAAATTTTGATTATGAGCCATAATCTAACCATATAATGTAAACTTAACATGAAAGATTGTGAAATGATGGTATGTGCTCCTGTAGAAAACACACATCTGTATTATTTCAACCTTGCTTTACCAAAAAAGCATTTTACTTGCAATACCAAGGAAAAAACCTACTCTGCCCATAATCCTGTATTGAAACGGCAATGCCTCTGCTTGGTGGATTTTACTGTTACCATGGAGATGTTTAAACCTATGAAGATCAGGTCAGTTAGTGAGAGCAAAATTTCAGAAATGGCGAGACTGGTGACTCCACTCAGGAATGAACGACTGCACCATACAATAATGTCCAATGTCCTCATACATGGGTCTCATTTGTCTAAGAAACAAAAATTAGGTAAAAAAAAAAAATCTGGTAAATCTTTGTTTTTATATATTCTTCAGGTCCAATCAACCCAAATAGCAAAGAAAAATTTAAAATGCATGCCATGAAAGAGTTCGGGTCTTAGGAGGTTAAGGCATTATGGGATAAGTAGTTCCTTCACTTTTAAAGATAATTATGCACACACTTTAACTGTTTACACATTTGCCTAACAAGCAAACATTCATGAGTCAATGAGCCCTTCTGAATAAAAGAGCAACCAACTACAGCATCTATGTACACGGTCCTGTACCTTCAACTTTTTCTTTTTTCAGTTTTTATTTTATTTTTTTGATCCACATCAAATCTTTTTTTGCTCATGATTCACCCTGTAGCTTGTAGGTTTGGTTCAAGGCTTAAAATTTTTATCTAACGACATTCTGAAATGTCACATGAATGGGGAATTCACTTCTGAAACCAGAGCCCTTAAAGTGGGTGGTCACCGTTGCCGTCTACAATTCAGCCCACGCGCCCTGTGTTTATCTCAGTAATGAACTGATAACCCAACAGCAGTTAAGATGATGCTGTTGAGTTGTAATTAACAAGTCAGTGAGAGGGCACCCTATCATGGTACCATACTGGAATTCACTGAGATACTGAGAACAACCTATTGCTTCACAAATGTTTGTAGAAGAAATCCACATGCCTACGTGCTTGATTTTATACAGATGTAGCTCAGGTGGTAGAGCGGGTCACCTACTAACTGGAAGGTTAGAGGTTTGATCCCAGTCTGCTCCAGTCTGTATTCCAACCCCATGTTGCCCCATTGCATTGGTGAATGCATCCATCTCCAATGGATTGTATGAATGCTAGTAGTAAGCACTTGGAAACAGCATAGAGTAAAAAATAAAATGGCTTGTAAAGTGCGTAGAGTGCTCAGAGTAGAAAAACACTATATAAGAACCAGTCCATTTACCATTTGCCATCTGGCTATGAAAGCGATTGGATGAATACCTGATTGAGTGAATATCTTCGGCAATATAATGTCATAAACATAGACTTACATTTGTTTATGTAACAGAACTGATAACTCACTGGAAAACAAGGGGGTTAAACCTAAGAAAGCTGTCTAAGGTGCTTCTAAGGCCACTTTTGTACCCCTGGCTGCAGCAATGGTGTTAAGAAACCAAGGATGTACTATCCACTTTCACACTGTCTGTCTTTAAGCAGTCATTGTTTCCGGGAAAATCCACCTGTTAGCTATACTGTTTGGGTTTGTAAAGCACCTTATAAATGAGGACTGTCAGGGGTGGCCCAAAGGGTCTGGGGGAAGATGCATATTTTTGAACTTTTAACTGTATATTTATAAGTTTTACTAACTACTTTTGTGTTTTAGCCACACAAAAGTAGTTAAAAAAATAAACAATTAAATTATAGAAAAGTTCCTGTTTTTCATTGTCTGCTATATAAATTTCAGTTTAAAAAAAAAAAAAAGAATTTTAAACAAGTAACTGATACTTGTTTTTATAAATATGGGGCAGTCTGGGCAATGAGCCACCAGAACCTTTTCTGTAATTTTACACATTTGTCATGTAGAAACACTGAGGTGGACTGTTGAAATTATGCTTTTTAAAAAATGTTATATTAATATATCCCTGGAGTTAAATGTGTAGTTAAATGTCTTTATACGGACAGAAAGGGGAGTTTCACTTGTCCAGCTCACTTTGATGTAAAGTGGGCTGGGCAAGTGAAACTCTCCTTTCTGTGGCCCTCATTGTAAAATGATATTCTGAACTCTAAATGCTCAGAAAATCTTTTTCATACCAAGGGTCTTAAAATTGTGGTCCTCAACATGGTCCTCTCATACTGCATTTTATTTTCAAGAGAACTGTTTCTGTTATACAGTCCACTCTCTTTAGAATAGAAACTCCTGTTGCTATAATGCAATAAGCACCACATACTGCAGCCTCATAATTCCTGTGCAGTTCAATGACAATCGGCTTTGAAAAACTAAATATTACAGCTTTCATAAATGTAGGATTTGTTACGTTCTTCTGTTTCTGCATGCAAATTAGTCTGGTTACTGATAAGAATTTCAATGAATGCTGACATCTTGGTTCAGATATTGTATTTTAGTAAAATACACTAAATACCAAACTAATTCCTACAAATTGAGGAGCACAAAAGTTGTAGAAGCTCCCCCTCTAACATCCAGCGTTGTGTAACTGTGCTCCCTCCCTCTGTATGTGTTGCAGAGGAGCAATTTATCAATGATGGGAACCTTGTGGAAGCTCGTGAAGCTGCTGAGGAGGATCTGCTGATCGTTCACACCAAACGCTACCTCAACAGATTAAAGGTAGCCTTGCTTGCTTTATCTTACCTATAGTGCAGCATCTATCACTTTGACTGGCATCATTTTTCTTCCATCTTTCCTGCCGTAACACATGAATTTAATCAAATTCATTTGACATGGAGTGTCACCTCACTGGAGAGGATGAAGTCTGAACCTGTATGCGAGGTCAAGACATAGTGACTATGATGTAATCGGGCTCACCTCAACTCATAGCTTGGATTCTGAGACGAATCTTCTGAACATGTTTTAAACTTTATACAAAACTGGAGTTACCTGCAGTGAGAGGTTGCAGACAGGGCTGGGTACACTTGTGTTCCTATGACTCGGTGCTGGTATGTTGGGTTTTTTCCCCTTGTTGTATGAGAGCGCAGCTCCCCTATAATCAGCGCCTGCTCCCCTACTGTGCTCCATGCTGACTGTCATCTGCGGCAGTTCAGACGGCTATTCTCAAGTGCACATGGCACCAGGATGCTCTAGGTTGTAGGTTGATGGATTTTGTAATCAAATTGTCAGATTTGCAGGTGAAGGTCGGAGCAGAGCTGTCAGCTGATCACCACCTGGTGATGAGTTGGATCAGGTGGAAGTGAAGGCGTTGGGAACATTGTGATGTTCCTGGGGTTTATGGGATTTGCCCAGAGTTCCTTAAGGCTCTGGATGCTGTAGCTCCGTCTTAGATGATGTACCTCTGCAACACGTGGAAGCTGGGGACAGTGCCTCTGAATTGGCAGACTTGGGTGACGATTCCCCTCTTCAAGACAGGGAATCAAAGGGTGTGCACAAACTTTAAGGGGGATCAGTCTCCCCTTTGAGATGGTTCAGGCGTCTTAGTAGGATGTCTCCTGGAGGTCTGGGTATAGTGTTTCAGGTGTGTCCTACTGGGAAGAGGGCCTGCTTGGATAAACTGTATAGATTACGTCTTTCAGCTGGCTTGGGGATGTCTAGCTTTCCACTGCATGAGAACTAGAGGAGGTTGCCCAGGAGATGGAGGTCTAGCCTCTACTTTGACTGCTGCCCCTATAATCTTTTCACCCTAACCTGCTGTACATTAGAGCAGGGCGATATGACCAAAAATATTTATCACGATATACATTTGAAAATGTGCGATAACGATATAACTGACGATATAATTGACACTAGACAAAATACTTTACAACTCCACAACTTTATTAGTGCAAAAAAAAATAAATCAATGTATTTTCACTTAAACAAGCATCTGTTTTTTATGTGCATTAAAGTTATGTAAAAATTTAAAGTGCAAATTCCTCGCTGACAGTTTAACCAAGTGGAAACTGGCCGACATATCCTCAGCATAACCATGTTTAATATCCACAAAACTTAAAAAGAGGTTATACACACACAATACGGTAATATTATGTTGAAGCACAGTACGTATCACTCTGCAAGGCGCCTGCCTACGATAGCCGTAATGCTCCGACAATCCATCAAGCGGTGTGGGTTCGTAGCTTAGCAAAGTCGTACTGAAACATTTGACAGATTTTCGAGCGCCGTGTACATAAAATCGTTTCGAGGTCAGTAAACAACCAGAATTCATACATAAGGCACACGGGATTATAAGGGGCTCTGTCGATTTTCAGAAAAATCAAAGGATTGATTTTAAGTGTGCCGTATTTTCCAAAAAACACGGTAATAACAACGACCCGCTAACATGCGCTACCAAAAACAGTGCTTTGTTGTGTGACGGGCGAAAGCTAAACCAGTTCCACACCACTGAAGCTGCAGCATTTTCACAAACCAATTCTGGTTCATCCGTTTCATTCAACGATCCGCTTTCACCCTTTTCATTCTCTGTCGCCGTCATGCTTTTTCCGCCAAAACGAAGGCACTGCGCATGCGCGTTTTACCCATATTCTGTCGTGATATTTCATTTTCTTACCGTTGCCCAACATTACACCGGTATTACCATGAACGGTATGCTATGACCCAGCCCTACTGCACATCTTTTCCAGCTCTGTCTCTCTGCCTAACTAATCAATGCAAGCCCTTTTCCCCTTCTTTGGCAACTCTTCTGTAACACCTATTGCCTGTCTTAACTCTTTCCTGAACTCTATGCAACATTCTTTCTTCAGCTTCCACCATTTAATCCTTGGCTTCACTTGCTTCTTCCCTGCCAATACCTTGCAGTCTGCTCTCTCTTTCACCTTCTGCATAAGATGTAGTCTCCTCCACTCTTATACATTACTCCTGTTTTATCCTTTTCACAAAATCAATCACTATTTTTCTATTATACTTTTTTTGTCTCTTTAACACCATACCTTCCCAGCACCTCCTCATTACTTCTATTCATGTCCACTGAAGTCTGCTCAATTCACAACTGTCACCCAACCAGGTGGGTGACAGTCTCTATCACTTCATCTTACATCAGAATTCTTCTTTCTCTTTCTCTCCAGTCAGTTATCAGCCACCAATCAGTCCTCATCTGATTAATCCTTAGTCCTCAGGGAATATCATGTCACGCATATTAACAACATGGCAAATCTCCTTTGAGCTTTTGTAATTTTAATTTATCATCTAGAGGGACTGATTAGTGTCTACATTTATTTACCTTTCCCTGAGCGGATTTGGGAATTTTAAGCTGTCTGTGGATGTCAGGAATGCTGACGTTTCATTGTAAAGCTCTTCTAGTAGAGTGCCTGCTACAGAGGAAGCAAAGCTGATAACAGTATTTCTGTCACATTCAGAGGCTTTGTATTTATTCTGTTTTCCCTCAGCTGCCCAAGTGAGGTGCAATAGCTTTATTCTTTACTGTTGTTTTTTCATGAGAATTCAAGCTTCAGCCTGAACCCCCTGGCAACATTATTCCGTTTTTCTCCACCTTTATATCCACATCCTTTTTCACCTTTCTTTTTTTGCTTTGCTTTCCGTGCTGTTCATTCAGTTGAGGGCAACTTAGTTTTGTTTGTCTTGTGACAGATGGCAAAGAAAAAAACATCTCTATACCGCTCTAATTATGTTCTGCTTCCATTTAGTGGTCTCTGGTGGTGGCAACCATCACAGAAATTCCACCTCTCCTGTTTCTGCCTAATTTCCTGGTGCAGCGGAAGGTGCTAAGGCCTTTGCGGACCCAGACAGGGGGAACAATAATGGTAGGTATCTGACACCCTCATTTCCTCTTCATGCTTGTGGCTGATAATGACATGTTATCTAGCCTCATTTGTCAGAAGTAGAAATGGAGATAATGTCCTGTAGTGTACCACCATCACATAATGATGAGATCCACTCTTGGCTCCGTTTACTTTTATCAACTAATACGAGTGCAGCAGAAACGTTACAGTTCACACCCACGGCACTCAGCATCCAGCCAGCACAATGAGGTTCTTACACAACAAGGCCTTGAATTTTCAATGACCTTAAGTTGAACTGAAGTTGCCCACCTTAGTAGATAATCTGCATATGGTTTTAGTGTGTGTTTTACAAAAAAACATCTAGATGCATGAAATAACTGTACAGTACTCAGCAGAAAATTCCAGGAGCAGGACAACGCTGCCACATTCCAGCACACAGATCACTATTCTGCAGTAAAGTGCAACGCTCTTTAAGTTTTTAGGTGTTTTTTCTTTTGGAAGGTTCTGGCCTGTTGCCGACCATATACTGCTTTATCTGGCATGGAAGACTGTGCTTACACAGGGCTATTTTTTATGTAGCTCCAGAATCTACATTTAGTACTAACTACAGAACCTGAGATGTTCACATTGTTTTATTACCTTTAGAAACTTTACATTACCTTCATGTTCAAGCTCTGTGACAATTTTGTATTAACAAAAGGGTTTCTTGAAAAGACTTGTGCAGACTTTGCTTTAAATTGATGCTTTCTGTAAAAGTTGTGAATTTAAAGGAAATAAAGGTTCTTGTTTTGTCTTGTGAGGGTGGAGACTTCCAAGGGAAAGCAGCCTAATAGAAAACCTGTGTTAAATATATATATTTCATATATAAAAGCTAATCTCTGTGGCGACAGTTTTAGGGGGAAGATGGGGTTTTCTTTGTTGAACATATCGTGTGTTTGCACTTTTAAATGGAAATACTCTTTCATGTGTTTTGGGGAATGGTTACTCAAATTGTTTTAAGTAGGATGAACAGTCTATGTGACTTTATTTGAAACATTTGTTGTGATTTACTTCTTTAAATCTGTAATGGTTATGTAGAAGGTTTCTTCTTTAAAATCCTGTTAGAGGTGTGTGTGTGTGTGTGTGTGTGTGTGTGTGTGTGTGTGTGTGTGTATGTGTGTGTGTGTGTGTGTGTCTGTGTGTGTGTGTGTGTGTGTGTGTGTGTGTGTGTGTGTGTGTGTGTGTGTGTGTGTGTGGGGCAAATTGGTTTGAAAACATTAATATTTACATCCAAGTTTATCTGGAACGCATTCTTTCTGTCTGACAGGCGCTTAAAAGCTAAAACTCATATTGACACATTATTTCTCTTGGATTTATATCTTAATATTTTTAGCTGATCTGATTGTTAAGAAAATATTAAATTGAAAGGTGGGAGTTCAGTGGAAATCATAAATCCTATAAATTGATAGATTTTTCTCAGGTAGTTTTTAGTGGCGCATAGGGAGAAACTGGAATCTGGGATCTGCGTTTTGGAGCGTTCTTATTGAAAACGGAGAAATAGAGAATAAGAAATAAATGGAGTACAAGAAGAAGACCTAAATGAACCTGAACTATATGCCCACTATAATGCAAACAACGCATATCATATGGTTTTCTCAGCATACGCTTGACAACAAATGTATTTTCTCTCAAAGACTGCATTCTGGGCCTGGTGGTCGATGGTGCACATGAGATTCGAGGGCTGTTGTAAAATATGCCTGATACGCTCTGAAACAGAGTTCTTGTTTTCCCCAGACAGAGTGGAGTGTTACCCACACACTCTGTTCATGGCCAGACTGTGTGCATACATGCAAATTTGTATTATTACTCATCCATCAGAGAACCATACTGGCATTTACACACAATCTCCCCAGGTCACATCTCCTCTCATCAGCTCTCACACATGCTGGTCTGTAGAAGAACATGGCAGAGCAGCCACTCTTGTCTTTTCCAAGAGAAAAATCGTGACCTACCACGGCCTTATCGTTGTTTAAAAAAAAAACAAAAAAAACGTCTGACTGACGACATACTTGAGAACATTTTGAGTTTGAAGATTGAAACTACTTTCCTAAGAATGCCCTTTATTTGTGAAGCGGCTTAGATAAATAAGCCTTTAGTATGTTTTTTACTAAAGGCTAAACCAGGAGTGCAACCAGGCCCAATTAATGTCTTCCTGAGGTGTAAGCAGGCACATCAGGAAGAAACTAATGAACTTGAAACGCTGCCCGTCTCACATTTCTTAAGAAAGCTGCTCTCAGGAGTAGATCTGGATCAGTGAGGCTCTGCAATGAAATCTCCAAAAGGAATTGTAAATATTCCTTTTACGTTGGTATTCTGCTGAATAATTCTTGGCTTCAGATATATTAACTTTTAAAGATTTTAGGTTTTTGGAGGGTAGTACTCTTTAGTCCCACTTTCTTTATTTCTTTTTGTTTGACTTTTATAATATCCTGCTGTACACCACAAGCTGGTCTGTGTGGCTTCGGGTTTTTGTTCCATGACACAGTGACAGGGCTCCCATGGACAAGTTGTTTGGAAACCTGTCACCTTTTAATTGCACGTCACTGTTGAAGTCTCAGCAGAGCAGAGCGCTTCGCATGGGACAAAGAAAAGGAAAGAAAAGAGCACGAGTCCACTTTATTTTTCCGGTTAACCCATTAACTTTGGCAGTAATTAAGTCTGTTGTTGTCCATATGCATATTTAGAAATAGTACATGTTTTACATAGTTAGAAGTCAGATTCACTAGTGGTACTTACTCGTTTTTAAATCCGTGCCATGCACAGAAAACCAGCATTAGAATGCATCACTTTGCACCTTTTATTTGTTGTTGTTTATCAGTCAACATGAATCAGTTCATGGTGACTGCAGGAGCCACTTGAAGATTCCTGTTGCATTCAGTAGTTTATTTTTTAAAAGGTCATTTTCCTTTCAGGGGATTTTCTGTCTCTGTCAACCAGAAAGGATCATTTATACATTTTTATGGTCACATAAAGGCAACTGAACTGAAATATTGTCTCTTTCACAGGCAGGAAAACTTGCTGTTGAGCGAGGATGGGCCATAAACGTAGGTGAGTTTGCAATATATGCACTGATCCATGCATCAGTAATACGTCTATCTGCAATCAGCTGATATATGTTTAGCTTTGATATGGGAAACGGTTTACCCCACACTCTTCACCTCCCTATAGAGCCTAGCTATGGAGGTTTCCATGAGATAGTGGTGTCACATGCCAGGTTTCCAGTGTCTTCAGCATGCAACAAAAGCCTTCATTTCCCACAGTGGTATTTGTATGCAGTCTTTGCATATAGCTTAAGTTAGGTGGTGAATTATTATTATTTTTTATTTATTTATTTATTTTAGTAAAAAAAGAAAACTAACAGCACCAGATGCTAGAATGGGAAAAACTAAACAAAACAAACAAAAAAATGTTTGTTTTTCTTTCCCCACTTAGCACAAATATGTTTTTGAATCATTTGCAAAGGGAATGCTCCGTGTTAACGAGATGCTATAAACTCTTCAACATCAGCGTCTGTTTTTGGTAGCTGTGAGTGAAACAGTGTTCAACGTAAAGTAGAACATGCTGATCAGTTTCCTTAGCTGCTTATCGCCTAGAGGAGGAGTGGCGCAAACACAACACTCGCCAGACATGGACTGTATTTTTTGCATCATAAGGCGCGTTAAGCAAAACAAAGCAGTCAGATAAATCAAACTTTATTAAACTCATTCTTCTTGCTTCCTCCACTTCTGTACCATTGATTCATTAATGCTGAAATCTCCGGCAGCTGCTCTATTCCCATGTTGTTGCAGTATATATTAATGACTAACCTCGTATTGTGGATGGATTATCTCAGTTGTTCTCCTGACTGAAGTTTGGTCCGTTTACAGCATCCTGCCATGCGATTGCATTTGTCCCTGACCATCAGGAGCCCTCACGTTAACTTTTATCGAGTGGAAAAAAGTTAGCGTTCATCCTCCAGCTTCACTGTGTTTATGTGACGCTAACATAGCTGTGTGCTAGCAATCATGTAGCACAACATTATATACCAGCTAGTCCAACTTCAGTAACCCTGCAAAAGTCACTGCTGTTTAGTTTTCTGTCTTCTTTTATGTTGGAAGTGATAGCAGAGCTGTACATTTGAATTTTTTCAAAAATCTCTCAGTCAGAACTAGAGATGGACCGATTCGATATTACGTATCAGTATCTGTCCGATACTGACCTAAATTACTGTATCAGATATCGGAGAGAAATAAAAAACGTAATCCGATCCATTAAATATCACAAAACACCTCACAAAACTTGCGACATAACATATCCCAGCTCATAACCTTAGCACGTCGGAGCAGTATGCGTCTCGTGATAGAGCGGCTGTAGCGTGTGAGACCTGTCGGCAGTCTGGTTGAGCATTTGGAGCCTCGCTGCGTGCTTCCAAACCGGCATTTCATCTCCGAGAAAGCTATCCCAGAGAAGTAAAGCAAGTGTGTAAGTTCATCTCTGTATGTTAGTAAAGCTTAACAACCGATATATGGAGCGACTGCCTCTTCTCTCCCCCTCCCTCTCCTGCTGCTACTTCAATCATGAAACTGATCAATGATCAGCTGATCGGCTTTTCTGTCGCGACTCCCGTCTCTCTTGTTTGTTTATCGCCCACTTCGCGCCAGAAAGAGGAAACCAGCGGATAAACAACAGCCGCACGTTTAAGCTTGATAAACTGTTGTTACACCAGGATCCTTTTCTACGCAGCTGACGGCTGTAACTGTGCAGGGGCGGGTCTAGCAAAGTTTTGCCAGGGGGGCCGATAGGGCATTAACAGGGAAAGGGGGGCACAAAAACATTTTTTTCTAATTGTCATGTCTAGCTTTTAATAAATAATTATCTGAATCTTACAACCAAAGTTTTCATCTGATGTAAAATGTATAGAAGTCCATTATTGTATATAGTAACAATTAAGTCAAATTTCTAACCTAGAAAGCTACAGTACTTTTATCTTTGCAATTCTGTTGAAGAAAGATGTTGAATCTATTTAATTATTGTAAAAAAAATATTTGACTTCTGTGCATTTTTTTATTTTATTTATTTATCTATTTTTTAACACGTGCTTTAAATTAAAGTCCATTACGTCAGTTAAGCATGAGTGTGGGGGGTGGGGGGTGGTTCTCTATTTTGTTTTGTTTTTGCTGGGAGTTGGCAGCCCTATTAGTTAGGTTGTTTTATATTTCCACTAAGTACTCTTTAAAATACCAGAATAGGGAGGATGGTGCAGGTTTAAGTTTATTAGATTGATCAGTGTTGCTGAACTATGAAATATTTTGGGTGCAGTGTATTTTTGCATACAGGTATAACAGAATAGCTTTAGTGTTGCTTTGTTTAAAACTTGAGTATGAACTTATACAAAATGCAGCAAGATGCTTAAAAAAAATACATAATTCATACATACGATGCACCGCTGTCGATTTTTGAGAAAATTAAAGGAGTTTAAGCGCGCCTTATAGTGCGGAAAATATGTTAGCATTTTTACAAGTGCTACTGGTCTGGCATTTAAGCAGCAGCCAGCTAGAGTCAGGTATATGTACACATTGCTTTCCTGGATATTCTGTATCACAGCAGCTAGTGTCTCAGCTTAAATAAATGCGTTTGTTTGACTCTGTGATAAAGCGTCAAACAAATAAATTGCTCAGTTAAGCGGCCACAATGTTTTCATTTGGGATTTTTTGTTGTAAACTTTGCTGCAGGCTCACAGCAGAAACATGCAAGGTGTATCTATATAAAAGTCATTCATAAAGACAATGACATTAAAAATGCATGCCGTGGAAGATTCCGGGTCTTAGGACGTTAACATTCTCAGTGAAGCTGGATTTAAGAAATAAGTGCTTAAAATTTTTAGCGCATGTTTTTTGCCAGTACAGAGCGTGACGTCACTTTTATACTGCATGTTGAAAAACCAAAGAAACCAGCAGGTTCGAGCCTGTTTTGAGTGAGGTGACAGGTGGTTCACTGAAACAAGCTAGAGTCAGAAAAACTGGGATTTTTTTTTTCCCCTCTTCTGGCCGTGTGTACCGTGCAGCACTATTTTATGCAATAAAACAGCATTTCTTTTCCCAAGCAAACCTGAACAGTTCACAAAACAATAGGTCACCACATGTGCATCACACCACAACTATAACTAATACATAGAAGACCTGACTAAACTAGAAGTGATCATTTTAAAATCTGTTTAAAATGTATCTAATCAGAGCTGATTGTTAATTAAACCTACAAATCTGTAATATAAGCTTAAAAAATACATGTATGCAATTCTTAAATGAAATCAACTACTCTGATTTAAGCAGAAATCGTGAGACTCATCTGTATGAAGGAGCAATTTGAAAAGATAGGTTTGGAAGCATTTAGTATTGACTGTAGGACCTCTTAATAAATTCGAAAAGAAATAAAACTCGTAGGACTCTATATTAGCATTTTATTCAAGATCTTGTTATTCAAGATCTAATCTCATTTTTCAGTGGACCCTGGGGCCTTCTTTTTCTGTTTTAGGCCCACAGCCATGAGGAGTCTTTTCCACGATGTATTCTTCTTTGTTTTTCCTGGGAGATTTTCTACTGGAGCAGCAGCTTCCCCCAGGACGGCCTGTGATTCGGGGACAAGGTGTTCCTCCTGCTCTGAAACCTTCTCAGCAGTGTTGAGACTGGTTGCAATCACTTCTTTGATTTGTGATCTTAATCTCTCCACCTCTCGGATAAGTGACCGCTCCTTCTCCGAGGTATCATTTTGCTGGGCTCGGAGCTCACATATTTGCTGTTCTAGGTGTTCCCTTGTGGCCCTCGGGTCTCTGATGAGGAACCGATCTGTTAATGCGCTTTCTACGTGCAGTCTGTTCTCCTGGTTTAGATGATGTTGAATTTGCCCGAGTTCTTGTTGAAGAGCTGCGCTAGCTAGTAGCTCCCTGTTGTTATTCTTTTGCTGCTTGAATTTGTCACAGATCTTTTGCAACCTTCGTGCCTCTTTCTTTGCTTTCTTCTCTGCATTCATGTACTTGTTCTTCAGACGTTTCTCCTGTTTTAGTTTATTTGTCGCATTGTCCAGCTGTTGATGTAGCCGATCCGTCTTTTCAGTTGACTGTTTCATTGATGTATTCTGTGCCATCATGACGTTGATCTGACTGAGAAGTCTGTTACCGTGTCTCATAGCACTCTGCAAATTTGTATCCTTTTCCTTCATCTGCCTTTGGAGGTGCTCTATTTCAGTTTTCTGTTCTTCCAGCTTGGCGGCCCCTTGAGCAGCCTTTTTTTCTAGGCAAGCACACAGAGTCTCAGCACTTTGGAGTTGATTCTTCAGCTTTTCCACTTGTGAAGCGAGCTTCCTCTTCTGATTATCAGAGTCCTGTAGCAACTTGGCTAATTTATAGCCTGACAAAGAACTCCAGTGAGGTTTTAGTGACTTGTTCATTTTTGTTGTTGGATTAAATGTTGTCCTCTCTGATGAGCTGTGCTGTTTCAGACAGGGCTGCAACTGACGATAGTTTATTTATAAGTTGGCATCAGGGAAACCGTAAAGAATGGAACCGCGTCAGTTTGAAGACATAAACAAGCTCCACATTGCTGTATACACTTTTGCACCAACAGTTTTACAAAGCATGTTATGAAAAAATGTGCACTGTATTTTCTTCTAAGATTAGAAAAGACTGCCTTATTCACCCAACCATATTGTTATATTACAATGACAACACTGAGAATATAGCATAAAACACACTTTTCCCTTTTTTTCTCATTGGACACACACCATTGCTGTTTCTGAAATTATTGCATGGTCATATTTTTATTACTTTGTTATAGGGCTGCCACAAACGATTATTTTGATAGTCGACTAGTCACCGATTATTTTTCTGATTAGTCGACTAATCAGATCATCATCCATTGGACGTACAACGTACAGCTTATTGCACCAGCAGCATCTGCTCTTATATAACTATCATTACCTTACAGCTTTAAGTGTTTAAGTTAAGTGCTAACTAAAAATAAAGACAAGATGATAGTTTATTAAATTTGAATGAAATCTGCAGATTGATCTCACACTTCTGATAATCAGCTGTCTGCTTGAGGTTTATTCAGCTGTGTGTAAACTCTAACTTTAATCTCAGCCTAACCGATTTACTCAGGAACAAATAAAATACTGAAAAAGCCAAACAATAACATTTTTAAGTTATCTAAGTGACTTATATATATGTTTATCCTGAGTAGCGAAAGACGGCGGTGGGTTTGAAAACGATCTGCCGGGAGTCCGGTGTTCTCACGGCTCTAGTGAGCCTTGCCCCCGGCTCGCTATCGAGCTGGTGGGTAACAGACGTCTCTGAAAACGTCAGAGCGCTTTTGAAAATATGTGGTGTCCTGATAAACTGAGCAGATATTTGAGGTTTACACAGCTACATTCTCGCCTGAAAATATGTTAAACGTTTATTTTGTGACCCAGAAAGAATAATAACAGTAACATTAAAACTAACTAGCTGCCGCCATTGTTGGAAACAGCAGCATCCTGCACAACGATGGCGACAGGTCGGCGAGACGTGATTGTGGATGCCGCTCAGGTGCGTCCGCCTCCCCAGCAGCCGCGCCGCAGACCACGCCCTGCCACAGTACTTTTCTCTTGTCCCCTTAGCTCCTAGCCTACTCGCTAGCAGCAATCAAATCAGGAGTGACATGTTTAGCCGCATGTTCTCCTTAAATTGCTGTCTGTCTGAATAGTATCCAAAAAAAACGATGGGCAGCTTTACTGACCGAGAAGATAAAGAGTGTCATTTAGCTGTTACTGATGTTAAAGGGGCCGTACACTGTATTAGGAACTGGGGTATGTAAACCTCAGATCAGGGTCATTGGGGTAGTTTGTGTTGAGATTATGATTTAAAAAGAGTAAACACAATTGTTTGACAATAAATGTGTTTAGCCTTCCAGAAACCATGAATGAAAGTAAAGTTTTTGTGCTATCATTCATATTCTCTGAAAAATGGTTAAGAAATCATAAATTCTTCCAGGGTAAATCAACTTATGAGAGCAACTGTATGTTAATATAGCACCACCTTCAGTTAGCTTTACACAAATATAGAAACATCTTTTCTCAACACCATGAGGATGAAGAACCCTTATAAAGGACTGTTTTTGAAACAGCCACCACATATTTCTCTGTATTTTAATACTCTGTATTTTAATGAACGTGACCAAATCAGGTCAGAGGAGACTATATTTCATAACCTGAACGAAGGCTTCTCATCCCAGTTGTTAAAAAGGTCTCTTCACACAGTGCTTTTCCCTGTAGACTGCTGCTGTCCTAGCATTACAGCAGCATTAGAACAGTCCCATTTGGTGTCAGTAGTCCCACTGTTATACCACATGGGAAAAGCAGCCATTTTTATAAGGTGCAATAAACTCAATAACAGCCCATTTTAAATCGGCATTTATAGCCATTTTGAATAATGGACTTCTTAGAAACCTGCTCGGTTAGTCTAATGGCCCTGAGACAGAGCCTGTGAATTTTCTGTTTCCCAGGAGGAGGCTTCCACCACTGCTCCAGCGACAGAGGAGGTGGATTTTGTGCCTATGCTGACATCACTTTGGCCATCAAGGTAAAACTGAATCAGACACTTTTTTTTTTTTTTTTTTTTAGATTCCCCATTATTTAACACATTGACTTGACACTCATTGTTAAAACTGCCATTATTCAAAATCAAGGCATGAACCCAAACGCACAGTTGGAAAAAGGAAAGTTTTCACTAGAACACCCATAAAGTACAAACAGGAATCGCATGAAGCTCATTGTTCTTTATGGATGAGTTAAAAGATTAATTTGGGCATTGTGAACATTGTTCTGCTTGAGTTTTTCATGTAAATCCATGTGAGATGTAAAAGTTTTTCTCATGCTGGGGATGTGTGTTCAGAAAGCAAATATTTTCTGATTTATCTCTCAGTTTCTGTTTGAGAGAGTCGAAGGCATCTCCAGGGTGACCATCATCGATCTGGATGCTCATCAGGTGAGCCGATACATCACTTCTCTCCGTGTCAATTCACACCGCTGCTTAGCAGCCATCATTGATGACAAAATAGCCCCACTTTTACCGCCAGAGCCTCCCTGCAGGCAAATTTGGCCCTTACCATCAGATTCAGCAGAATGTATCTTAAAACGTCTCCGCTGACAAACAGCCGAATGAATACAGGCCTATGCAAACAGTAGGATGTCTTCAGCAATGTTAGGTACCTTGTTTGTTTGGGCTTTTTTCATATTGTGAAAAATGTGTCCTAACCATGATAAAGAATCACTTTTGATATTTTTTAAATTAAAACAATGGCTATTCTTACAACTACAGCTTGAAAATGTTTAAGGCCAATATTGATTAATTTCATTCTGATGTTTTTTCAATAATGTTGGAAAAAACAGAATGAATGCTGTTCTTGAAGGTCATTTCACCTTTGTTGTGGAGATTTGAGGAAAATGAGTGAAAAACCAGCATCCAGACATCATATTTCTGTATTCCTGCATGTTTCCAAAAACTGTTTGATATACTTTGTGAGAATTTTGATAAATGCAGGGATCTCCATCCATCATGGGATACTTCCCCACTGACCTAATCCCCGTCTCACTCACGTGTTTGTTCGTGTGTCCTTCTGGGCACATGGCGGGTGCCTCTTGCTATGTTAAGAGGTGGAGGGGTGTATTTGTTTATGAATGCAAGTAGCTGTAATTTGGCATCTTAATCAAAAATAATAATGTTCTTTATTATTTTTCTTTGTTTTTGTAAAACAGCACATTTGTAAAAAAAAATCATAAGTAACAACAATAGTTTTATTTTAGAAATTAAAAATAAATTATGACTAAAGAGGTTGTGCATACAGGTGGATTAACAATTAATTTGGTAATTACCAGTACTGTTAGTTTAAGGCAGCTTTGACATAAACTTGCATTAGGTGGTGGTGTAATACATTTAACACTGTATAATAATGCTGTGCATCATTTGTGGGCTGAACTCTCTTAAGCTGTAGAAAACAATGACTCAACCTTTTTAAGACCCTGATTAACATATATTTGCCTTAAGATATATTTTCAGCATAATGACTTGTATCCACCACCAATTAGGCTTAAGAATTATGCAAACACTGATGATGTCTTAACAACCCAGGTTCAAGGCTGCATTGTATTAATAGCCTGGCATTCATGTTTGAGACCAGTTTGCACGTACAGTGGGGCAAAAAAGTATTTAGTCAGCCACCGATTGTGCAAGTTCCCCCACCTAAAATGATGACAGAGGTCAGTAATTTGCACCAGAGGTACACTTCAACTGTGAGAGACAGAATGTGAAAAAAAAATCCATGAATCCACATGGTAGGATTTGTAAAGAATTTATTCGTAAATCAGGGTGGAAAATAAGTATTTGGTCAATAACAAAAATACAACTCAATACTTTGTAACATAACCTTTGTTGGCAATAACAGAGGTCAAACGTTTACTATAGGTCTTTACCAGGTTTGCACACACAGTAGCTGGTATTTTGGCCCATTCCTCCATGCAGATCTTCTCGAGAGCAGTGATGTTTTGGGGCTGTCGCCGAGCAACACGGACTTTCAACTCCCGCCACAGATTTTCTATGGGGTTGAGGTCTGGAGACTGGCTAGGCCACTCCAGGACTTTCAAATGCTTCTTACGGAGCCACTCCTTTGTTGCCCGGGCGGTGTGTTTTGGATCATTGTCATGTTGGAAGACCCAGCCTCGTTTCATCTTCAAAGTTCTCACTGATGGAAGGAGGTTTTGGCTCAAAATCTCACGATACATGGCCCCATTCATTCTGTCCTTAACACGGATCAGTCGTCCTGTCCCCTTGGCAGAAAAACAGCCCCATAGCATGATGTTTCCACCCCCATGCTTCACAGTAGGTATGGTGTTCTTGGGATGCAACTCGGTATTCTTCTTCCTCCAAACACGACGAGTTGAGTTTATACCAAAAAGTTCTACTTTGGTTTCATCTGACCACATGACATTCTCCCAATCCTCTGCTGTATCATCCATGTGCTCTCTGGCAAACTTCAGACGGGCCTGGACATGCACTGGCTTCAGCAGCGGAACACGTCTGGCACTGCGGGATTTGATTCCCTGCCGTTGTAGTGTGTTACTGATGGTGACCTTTGTTACTTTGGTCCCAGCTCTCTGCAGGTCATTCACCAGGTCCCCCCGTGTGGTTCTGGGATCTTTGCTCACCGTTCTCATGATCATTTTGACCCCACGGGATGAGATCTTGCGTGGAGCCCCAGATCGAGGGAGATTATCAGTGGTCTTGTATGTCTTCCATTTTCTGATGATTGCTCCCACAGTTGATTTTTTCACACCAAGCTGCTTGCCTATTGTAGATTCACTCTTCCCAGTCTGGTGCAGGTCTACAATACTTTTCCTGGTGTCCTTCGAAAGCTCTTTGGTCTTGGCCATGGCGGAGTTTGGAGTCTGACTGTTTGAGGCTGTGGACAGGTGTCTTTTATACAGATGATGAGTTCAAACAGGTGCCATTCATACAGGTAACGAGTGGGGGACAGAAAAGCTTCTTACAGAAGACGTTACAGGTCTGTGAGAGCCAGAGATTTTCCTTGTTTGAGGTGACCAAATACTTATTTTCCACCCTGATTTACGAATAAATTCTTTACAAATCCTACCATGTGGATTCATGGATTTTTTTTCACATTCTGTCTCTCACAGTTGAAGTGTACCTCTGGTGCAAATTACTGACCTCTGTCATCATTTTAAGTGGGGGAACTTGCACAATCGGTGGCTGACTAAATACTTTTTTGCCCCACCGTAATAACCTACATCTATTGACAAATGGTAGGGATCAATATAGATGCTGAGTGAATTATTCATTAAGACCAAAGAATAAACCTACACTGCCCTCTTAGCAGATAATTGGGCTGAGAGAAAAGCAGTAACCTGTGGCTCAGGTGGTAGAGCAGGTCGGTGGATTGATCCCCGGTTTCTCCTGTCCATGTGTCGGAGTTGCCCCCAGTGCAACCATCCAGTGTTAATTCAATTCAATTCAATTCAATTTTATTTATATAGCGCCAAATCACAACATAAGTCGCCTCAAGGCGCTTCATAGATACAGAGAAAAACCCAACAATCATATGACCCCCTATGAGCAAGCACTTTGGCAACAGTGGGAAGGAAAAACTCCCTTTTAACAGGAAGAAACCTCCGGCAGAACCAGGCTCAGGGAGGGGCGGCCATCTGCTGCGACCGGTTGGGGTGAGAGAAGGAAGACAGGATAAAGACATGCTGTGGAAGAGAGACAGAGGTTAATAACAGATATGATTCAATGCAGAGAGGTCTATTAACACATAGTGAGTGAGAAAGGTGACTGGAAAGGAAAAACTCAATGCATCATGGGAATCCCCCGGCAGCCTACGTCTATTGCAGCATAACTAAGGGAGGATTCAGGGTCACCTGGTCCAGCCCTAACTATATGCTTTAGCAAAAAGGAAAGTTTTGAAGCCTAATCTTGAAAGTAGAGATAGTGTCTGTCTCCTGAATCCAAACTGGAAGCTGGTTCCACAGAAGAGGGGCCTGAAAACTGAAGGCTCTGCCTCCCATTCTACTTTTAAATACTCTAGGAACAACAAGTAGGCCTGCAGAGCGAGAGCGAAGTGCTCTAATAGGGTGATATGGTACTACAAGGTCATTAAGATAAGATGGGGCCTGATTATTTAAGACCTTGTATGTGAGGAGCAGGATTTTGAATTCAATTCTGGATTTAACAGGAAGCCAATGAAGGGAAGCCAAAACAGGAGAAATCTGCTCTCTCTTTCTAGTCCCTGTCAGGACTCTTGCTGCAGCATTTTGGATTAGCTGAAGGCTTTTCAGGGAGTTTTTTGGACATCCTGATAATAATGAATTACAGTAGTCCAGCCTGGAAGTAATAAATGCATGAACTAGTTTTTCAGCGTCACTCTGAGACAGGATATTTCTAATTTTAGAGATGTTGCAAATGGAAGAAAGCAGTCTTACATATTTGTTTAATATGTGCATTGAAGGACATGTCCTGGTCAAAAATGACTCCAAGGTTCCTCACAGCGTTACTGGAGGCCAAGGTAATGCCATCCAGAGTAAGAATCTGCTTAGATACCATATTTCTAAGCTTTTCAGGTTAGCATGTGCGTGAATATTGGATAGAAGTGCTGAGGTACAGAGAAAAAGCATTGTACAAATGTGTGTGTGACTGTGAATGTGACTTGTAGTTGAAAGCACTCTGTGTGCTCAAATTGAGTAGAAAGGCACTATAGAAGTATTGGTCCATTTACTATGACATATAACGTTTTCTTGTGAGCAGTGTAATAGATTCTACAACGCTGTGATGCTTTTTCACAGCGAAGCAGTAATGATTTTTAGGTTGAGTTTATAAGATGCTTGCTTGGAGTCCAGCTCTGAGAGCATATTCTTATCTGTCTATTACGTTTATAAAGCATCACCTGTGTGTGATGCGAAACCGAAAATATGGATTTTGTGATCTCAGATACAGATATCTATTGATCATTATATAGTCTATAATACTTAATGCTTACCGTAATAAAGGGGAACAGTTAATTATTTTCTGCGATATAGAGCAACACTATGTCTGGAAGGAGAGAATCTGTTCAAACCTGACTTACCTGTACCAGGACAATCACTGATGTTTTCTAAAATCGTTTGCTATGATGGCATCTCTGCATAGCTCAGTATTGCATCACAGGTTTCGTCACTTTGAATAAATGCTTGGGTGGGCCAGCTATATTAATGAAATATTTATGTATATTTTTTACCCAACCATCGATTTGGCCTATGTCAGCTATAAAGGGCAAAAAGTGAGGTACACTCTGGAAAGGTGGCACAGGGCTAAGGCAGAGAGACAGACAATTACTCGTACTCGCATTCACAGTTAATCTAACATGCATGTCTTTGGACTGTGAGAACCTCAGGTAACCAGAGAAAGTCCACGCAGGAAGGCCCAAGCAGCGACACAAGGTCGCAGCCGCAGCATTTTACTGCATTGTATTTTGTACCAAATCATCATCAGTGGCCGACAAGTGGTGCTCGCTTTCAGACATGTCTGGGTTTGTGTTTTTGTTGTGTACACTAGTTCACAGCCCTCGTATTTAAGTAAGCATGGATGCGCCTTCTTTTTTTCATGTACACATCTTTGCCTGCTGGCGATGTACCACTACAATACTTCAAACTGTTGAAATAAGTTGAAACTTTTTCACAAAGACCCTTGGGACTGTCAACCAGCTTTTAAGTTATTACCTTCATTCTCCTAGGAGTTCATTCCAAATCATCTCAACCAGGCTTAGACTGAATGATTACTGCTTTCTCGCTCTCACAAACACACACTCACACAAACAAACATACACTATAAGCCAGTGTCAAGATTTCGCTGGCACAAAGTCCATTGCTTACATTTCTTGCCCTAAGAAGTTACCCAATTTTTATTGGCCTCTCTCAGTGCTGGTTTCTTTGCAGCAGTTTAGTCATGAAGTCTTTATCCACACAATTTCTTGTAACAGTTGATGTTGAGAAAGGTCTACTACTTAAACTCTTAAGGATTGATGCAGGCTCTAATGTGAGGTGAAGTTAGCTGGTAATTTAGGTGGCTAACACTAATGGACTCATTCTCTGCAGCAGAGGGAACTCTTGGTCTTCTGTTTCTTCAGGCAGTCCTCATTCTAGCATTTGAAGGTTTTGAAGATTGTATTCGAAACTTTTAATGTTTTAACTATACATTGGTAAAACACAACTGATGCTGATTAGTACAGTTAGAAATTCCAGGGACCGTTCACCATCACTGACATGCAACAATTTTATGATGATGGTGGGTAAAATAATCCCATTCTAGGAGATTAGGGGGTTAAGATGTTGCTCGTCAATATCTTGATAGTTTTTGTTTGCTCACTAATTTGTGTTTTTCTTTTCTTTTTTTCCTGTGTTGTTTTTATAAAATTTATAAAAGTTTTTTTCTGGAACATAGATAATAGTTAGAATATTTTAATATAGAATACAAAGAAAAGGACAAATACTCATCTTATGCTTTATGAGTAGGGATGGGAAACAAGAACCAGTAATTCCATTACTTACAGCATGCTAATGCTAAACTAGCCAAGAACCCAGAGTGATGGTAAAGCTGAGTGAACTTTGAACCCAGGCCAGCAGCCAGACTCTGAACATCTTCATTTTGTACTTGTTAATGTTTCTACAGTTGAATCACCGCAGGGATTTCTTTAAAGTCTCTCTGTGCCAGTTTCCATCTTTGCTTTGTGCTGTCGCTTTGTGTTCATACCTTTCGTATGAATACCTTTTCGAGAAAAATCGTACGTGTGTCCTCATTAGATCAGAAATTTGTCTTTGTGTCTGTAGCCTGAGGATTATATTAATTTTTATAAATCTACAGTGTATGTGTATAAACAGTCAGCAGCCTAAAAAAATATTCTCTGCATCTCTGAGATGGAAAAAATTGATTTTTCTTTAATACTCTTTGATTATGATTTGTTAAGCATTAATGGATGGTTCTTATATTAAATACAGATGTTCAAGCTAAGTTAGGGAGGATATGTTCCAAAGAACTGAGGGAAAAATCCTGTTTGAAGGCTTTCAGCTGACACTAACAAATGACAGTGAAACAGCAGTCTTTTATTGTACAGTACAGGATGTGAGGAAGAAGATAAGATGAATAAGACTGGAGGCAGCAGGAGCTCAGGCAGCATATGAGATGATTTATAGTCTCCGCATATCTTTTGGATTTAGAGGACAGGGTATTCACTTATGTAGTCATTTTCTAAAAGAAGTCAGTGTGACCCCTCAGTTCAGTATGTTGGTTTATTCATACAGTATAAAATACAACTACATGCAAAAGTTACAGTTGTCTATAACCTTCAGATCCATCCGTGTCTTGATTGTTATTATGTGATGTCTACAATGCATCTCTAAAATAACCTAAGTGCAAATAAATATGTCTTGGCTGTTCTGGAGAAGCTTCAGGTGGGTCTTTCAAATTCTTTAACCTATGTGCTACATGCAGTCCCATTTCATCTCAAGTTCTCCAAACTATTAAAAAAGAGAGGAGAAAGAAAACAATCTGTGTGTATATCATTACATGTCCATCCAAAGTTACCAATTAAAATGGGATGTATTCTGCTTTTCTGTATTTCCTGTCATATATATATACTATTATACAGAGTTTATTCAGTGAAACCTCTGGTCAGTTAGGTAGCAGAGGGTCTTGTTAATCGGTTTCAGCTGCTTTTCTGTTACTGAAATTAACAACTGATGCACTAAAGGGTCAACAATGAGACAATCCCCAAACTGGAATGGGTTTACAGTTGGACAGTTTTCCCCTCATCATTGTTTCTGACTGGATATGCAAAGAGGAACAGGATGGGCATTGTAGTGCCTACAAAATGCCCTCCAACACACCACTGGTGTGAATGTCTCTAACCAAACAATCAGAGACTGACTTCATTAGGGTGGGCTGAGGACCCAGTCTCCTCTAGTATAGGTCCTGTATATTTGGTATTTGCACCCTGTGATTTTTAGGGTCTGGAAAAGCTGTGGGGAATTTATTATAAATCAAATTGTAATATTCATTGAAGTACATTTTTTGCAAATTGAGACCAGAAAAAAATCTAAAGGCTTATTCCAAATTGACATTCAATGCTGTAGGGGACAATCAAGTAAAAGAGAAATGTGCCCTCTTTTAATTGGAGGTTTTATGCATCATCATCGTATAATAAAAAGATCATCTGGTCCTTTGCAGGTCTTAAGATTTGGTAAATACAACCTCAACAACATGTAACATGTTAAACTGTCCCATTATTTATTCATGAAAAACTAAGCCTAAACATATTCTCAAACCCTCTTGTTGAATAATAATTGCTGTAATATTCAGTTTCACTCTCACTAAATAACTAGTACATCTAGTTTCTTCAGGATTTATAAGAATGTTTGTTAATATCGTTCATCTAAAAAAGTCATGTTTTCTACTAAGTTTAGCCTTCACATAAAGTGAAGTCAGAGTTTGGTATCAGGGAGTTTCATAATATAATAATAATTAAATTAAAAGTAATTAATAATGAACAATCCAGCAGGAATACAGTTCGGGTTACAGACTCACAGTGTAGTTTTTTGCCGCTCTTTTAGAAATTGTCTGTTTGCCACTGCATGTGCGTCATGCATGTCACTCCATGACATGCATGACGGACATCATGGCATCAACCCACTGAAAGCGTTCCTTTTTTGACTGCAGCTGGGAGAGATTTACTTCTCACAAGCAAACCCACAGCGTCAGACTGAGCTGTTCACACAGTGAAGCTGTTGTTGCATCGTGGAGTCGGCGTTCTGGAGACTGGTGATTCTTTATTTAATTGTCTGCTCTTGATGCAGCATCTGCCTTCTCTGCTTTCACAGCATTTGAGCTAATGTTGGCTCCTCGGTGACACTGTGCCCACCACTTTGTTCATTTGTCATTGTTTTGGATCCATGCTATTTTTTATATAAACATTATTATATTTAGTTCTGCATTTATCTGTGACATTTGTCATAAATGTAATATTTAAGTTTAGTGATGAATTTCTATAGATTTTGCAGTCCTAAGCCCTGCTTTGCTCCACTCACTCACTTGATCTTTACTTTGGATTTGTCGTTGAACCAGACATGAGAGCCTATCAAGCAGCCATCTTTACCATTCATCATATAAAAATGCATCACACAGTCATTGAGCATGATGCTCAGCTGGTACAGAACAGTCCTTCACATCCCATACATCCATTATTCCATCCAGTACTACTAAACTTGGCACAAAGCCTAATCTCCTGACAGCAGCCAGACACTTTGAGTGACAAATGGAGGGGAGGGAATGAAAAGTGATGGAACAGCTGTGAGTTTTTTGAAAGCATTTTTAACATTTAATGCCTTCAGATGACAAGACTATTTATTCCTCATCTGCTGCTGTCAGTCAGCGCAGCATGTCTCGGGTAAACAAATGGGTCTGAGGGACACCTGTGTGGACCTCGGCACTTTCAAATGATGTACTGTAGCTGACTGTCAAAGACATCTTCAAGGGTGAAAAAGGCTTACTTGATTCAGTTTGTCAGTGCTTAATGATGTTTGGAGAAACAGCGACAGCATCAAAATGTTTTCATGGTTTTTTTTTTTTTAATGGCACGTGGTCCTGCTGTTTTACAGGGAAATGGACACGAGCGTGACTTTCTGGACGACAGGCGAGTGTTCATCATGGATATGTACAATCGCTACATTTATCCTGGAGACGAATATGCCAAAAGTGAGTGAAAAGCACCGTCGATTTTCCTCTCAAACTGCCTCTTTTGACCTTTCAATTCATAACAATTTTGAAATAATTCGTACCTTCAAACAGGTTTATGCCGTTCACATGTTCTATAGGACGGAAATGCATGAGAAAAACAAACCCAACGCTTGTCCAAATACCCCATCAAGGTTGAGGTAGTAGCAGTGGTTAGTTGCCTTCCCCCACTCCCATCCCTTAGATGTCACTGTGTTTTAATTATGCTGTGATTTCCCCGAGCACTACAACTCACTCTGTTAGCACTCAGTGGGAAATCTAGCACGCAGCAGTCCCTGCAACACCATAATCATGGCTTCTGCACAAATTAATCTGTCAATACATTGAAGCTCCTCTGACAGGGACCACATTCCACTGTGTAGCCCCGATTCTAACAATACTCTGCAGAGCAAATGTCGCAGTCTGCCTTTAAAAAAATTCTCTCCGTCCTCCATCCAGTTATCTTGCTTTGCACAATTAATTGAATTTAAGACATTTTATAATTGTCTGTCCCCTTAAGAGAGTAAAATAAATGTATATTCTGGCTTGTTTAAGATAAAAAAAACTGCCGTCGTATTCTTTTTCATATTTTTTCTCTGAGACACATTATTTCTCTGTACCTTTAGAGCCCAAGCTTATGTTTTTTTTTTTTCTTGAAAGTCTTGTAAAAACTACCAAGAACTTTTTGTTTGACTTTAATGTGCCGTTGCACTGGCTCGTCCTGCTTTTACAGCCTTATTCTGTTTAAAAACATTAAGGTTTTCCAATTAACCTTTTTCATCATTTTCAAGTTTAATTAGTATCAATGGAGTTAAAGCACTTCTGCAGAATTGTAAAATTTTAGAATGAAGAAATCCAGTTACCTACATTGATATTCTATTAAAAAAATCAGATGTTGTTTTAGTTTGATTTGTTAATCATGTTAGAAACAGAGTATTACTAAAGAAAGTCAATAAAATCTACTGTAAAATATACATGAAAAGGTCTCATAAACAAAAGTCGGAAGAGCTAAATCACACATTGGTCCGGCATCCTTACTTGATACTTGTTATAAATAATTAGCCATCTTCTCCAGTGTCCGTCATACACAAATACAGGTAAAGGGAGCAATATTGACCATATTGTTACAGTTTAATGTATTGCTGGTTAAACATGTAATTGATGTGGGTGCTGCTTTTACGTGTCACATCCACTGTGTTGAAGATCAGAAACGTAACATCCAGCATCCTTGTTATAGAAGTTTGGTTAGTTTATTTTTTTTAAACTGGGGATGCTGAAGATGTATTTTAAGTTGTTTTTACACCTAAAGCCACTTTCACCTACTGACACAGCGCTTTATTCAATCAGTGATAATTTTGTCAACTTATAATTTTCATTAGTTTTCGTTGGCGACAAGAACGAATGCTTGAGGAAAAACACTATGATAAAATGTATTGACACTTTCGTCGATGAATTAAATGCTCCCATTAAAACACAACGTAATGTGAATTCTTGGGAGGAAGAGAAGAGCAGACACATTTCGTGTTTGATGTTAAGGAAAATAATATTTTTGCAAACGGTGTGGAGAAACTCTCACCGGTAAAACATTTTAGTCAAAGGAATCTACTTCAGATTTTATCTGTGATAATCTTATATTTTATCAACTGAAACTAAACTAAAATAAATCTGATGGCTAAATTATGACTAAAACTAAATCAACATTTGCTGTAAAAATTAACACTGTATTCAGTACACTTTAAAGGTGCAATATGTAAGATTAATGTTCACAAGTTACAAGTGTAACTTTAGGTGTCTAACTCTGAAATAAGAAACAAAGAATCACAAGGAATTAGAAGCTTTTGCCATTAATGAAACGTGGTCATATGCAGTGGTACAGACCAGGCATGCAACATGAATACACAGGTGTCTAAACTGACAGCTGTTATTTTAGATTCTGCTAATAGTCTTAGCTAGCTCATAGTTTTCCAATGAACAGCAGCTCTCTGACTGAAAATGGCAACAGTAACTCAAATAAACACATTATAACCATGGGAACAAAGAGGGCATCCTTACTGAACTTTGAAGCACCAAGAACAAGAAACACAGACTCACTAAAATAGGACGGCATAAGGCTGTAAAAATGTTGCCTGATCAGTGTTGATTTCAACATTTGAAAGGTAGGGTCAGGATTTGGTGTAAAATATATTAAGATATTTTCTTGGCACATATTGGATCACTTAGTACCCAGTGAGCATGATTTAAACACAACGTATATGTAGTATTGTATGACCAGAGTGTAGCCATCTTTTTATGGATGCTTCCACAGGACGCAGCATGATTTCACAAAGCTGGCCTCAGTAGCAGATCTCAATCCAACAGAGCACTCTTGGGATTTGGTGAAATTCAAAGCTGAAAAATCTCTATGTGATGCTATGGAACAAAATCTCTAAGGATTGTTTCCAGCGCTGTGTTGAGTCTGTTTTATGAAGAATTAAAGGAGTTCTGAGAGCAGAGCAGAAAGGGCTCCGACCTGGGACCAGTAAGGTCTATAAAGTATCCATATACAAACACAAAGACTCCAAAGTAGATATGCATTGATTTGAATATCTTTTTCAATATCTTATTCATTGTCTTTTTACACCACCGTTTTTCAGGTGCAAGTGCTCTTTAGAATGAAAACTACGATTAGCATCCATGAGTAAATCGAATTAAAGTATCATTAATGCTTTATTTGCTCTGTCTGTAGCCCCACTCCTGTGTGACTTCTGTTAACCAAAAATATGGCGTGGGCCGTGTTTAAGCTTTACCCTTCCATTTCACTGATTTATACTTGGTGGTTAATGGTCTCACTCAGTGTCATACTATGTCAAACTGCTTGTACTTTTCAATAAAACTGTCTAACCTATTAATAAAAAGTTTTTCTAATATGTATTAAAACAGGGGAAGTATAGACACAAATCTGAGGTTGGAAAGATGATGGCTACTTCCTGCTTTATCTAACAGTAGAAAGATTTTCAATTTACTTGGAAAAGTATCCATTTGGAAGCACATATTACAGATACGAGTCAGAAGTTTTACAATACCATCAATGGCTTCCTTCACTATTGCCATACCAGTTTTATTACAGTCAGTCGACGATTTATTCTTACACTTTCTCATAATAGTCATTTCTTTTTTTGCTCTCAGAACTCTGCCAGTTCTAAAAGAAATCCTGTTGAAATACTGCAGCAATTCCTAGACCATGTATAAGTGATGTCTTTGGAATCAACTCCCCATAAATGCTTCTACTTTGTATTAGTTGGGTTATTGAGTTGCTATGTCCGGTAGCTTCACTGTGTCTTATATGCACCAGTCTTGTATTAATTTTTTGTTCAACAACAGGAGCAATAAAAAGGAAGGTGGAGCTGGACTGGGGCACTGAAGACTCAGAGTACCTTCAGAAGGTTGAGCTCCACATGGAGGGAACACTGAATGAGGTCTTGCCTGATATCATCGTTTATAATGCAGGGACAGACATCTTGGATGGGGACCCACTTGGGGGACTCTCAATATCACCACAGGTACTGTCACTACTGATTATTTTATACAAGGGTTTCAGAGTAGCATTCATTTGCCATTTTCGAGCTGGCAAATGACCTCTGCTAATGACGGTCCAGATGGCTGGATCATCATCAGTGGAGTTTCCACTCATGCAATAAAAGTTTAGCAGCCCAGCAAACCTATAGTCAGGTAAAAAGAACGTGCTTCTTAATTTGCTTTATGGGTCACCACAGGAGATGAACTTTCTCCATCTCACCCTATCCATATCCATAGTGTTCCATCACATCCATCCATGCTGTCCTCCTGCACTACATCCATGTATTTTTTTGTGGTCTTCCTCTTTTCCTCCTGCCTCGACGCTCCATCTTTAAAATCCTTTATCCAATGTATCCTCCGTCCCTCCTCCACACGTGTTCGAACTGCTCAACCTGAGCTGTCACTCTGATGTACTTATTTCTAGTCTTGTCCATCCTGGTCACTCTCAATGAAAATCTTAACATCTTCAACTCTGTCACCTCGAGCTCAGGCTCCTGTTTTGTTTTGTTTTGTTTGCCAGCTCCTTGCATGATAACCTTTCCAGCTGTCTCCATCTCATTCATCCACATGTATTCTGTCCTGCTTCTACTAACTTCAGTTCGTCTTTTCTCCAGAGCATACCTGCACCTGTCCAGGCTCTTTATCACCTGCTCTCTACTCTCACTACAGATCAGTGTCATCTGTCAACATAATTGTCCACTGAGACTCCTGCTTGACCTCATTAGTCAACCTGTACATCACCATCGCAAACAACATGGGGTGCAGAGCTGATCCCTGAACCCATATGTGACTCCTACCATATACCTCATCACTGTCTTGCTGTCCTCATACATGTCCTGTAACACCCTTACATGCTTCTCTGCCGCTAGACTTCCTCGTGCCGTACCACACTTCCTCTCTTGTGCCCTGTCATATGCTTTCTCTAGATCAGCAAAGAAGCAGTGAAGCTCCTTCCGACCTCTATACTTCTCCATCAACACTCTGAAAGTATACATTGCATCTGCAGTGCTCTTCTGATTGTCATTTCTCTTCTAAACCTAACTTCAACTACTCTTTCCAATAGCTTCATGGTATAGCTCATCAGCTTTATCTCTCTGTACCTTCTGCACATAACCCTTGTTCATGAAAATAGCTGCCAGTACAGTTCTTCTACTCCTCGGGCATCCTGTCAGTCTCCACAATCACGTTAAAAAGTCTGATGAAAATGTCCAGTGCCCTCTGTCCTCGACATCTGGATCCACTCTTCATATCTGCCCTCACTTCCTCCTTACTAATACTCTACACTTTGTGATTCACTAACTGTCCTCCATCTGTCCTCCTCTCTCTCATATTTTCTATTTTAATGAGTTTCACAAAGTGCTCTGTCCAACACACTCTCTTCAGTCTTTAGTACATTTTCATCTCTGTCCTTAATCACCCTAACCAACAACATAATTTCTCTGCCTAATACCTTACCTACCCAACTCCTCCTCATCACCTCTGTTCCCTTCACCTACATGTCCTGTAGGACATATGCACTGACAATGTTTAATATCAGCCCTTTGACTTGCAGCCACAAACTCCTGTCTGACACTCTCTTCACCTCCACAACACTGTTCTCATCTCTTCCTTCAAGCTTACTCCTATTTTGTTTTGCCTCTTATCTATAACATAAGCATTGTACAGTCTGATCTTGGGATGAATTTGCTAGGACAACCACTCCTGGGAAAACTGACTGCTGGACTTAGGGTTATATAACTTATATAAATCTCTAAGTCCATGTCAATCGACAGCAACTGGATAGCTGTCCATGTCTTTCTTCCTGGGAATTGTGTTAACATACATTTGGATTATCCATACCTGCATGATACTTAACCCTATTAATTCCCATGGAAGCCATAACAATGTACTTTGTTTTTCACACACTGCTTCTGTATTTTGGCTTTATTTTTGTGGTGGTATTTACCTCTTTTTAAAACCAGTTATATGCACACACACACACACACACACACACACACACACACACACACACACACACACACACACACACACACACACACACACACACACACAAACTGCTAAAAGCAACAATGGAGGACATTTAAAAACCAGAGAAATCCTATAACATATTACTGTTTTATCTGTTCTGACAATATCCATCCGTTTTTGTCAGCTAATCAAAATAAACCATTTCTTGCTGTATCTGACCGAGGATGAATATGATACGGCACACTTCCTTTGGTTATATACGCGTTACTTTTTCCATGGTGTCTCATTCTGTCCTCTCCCTCCAGAGCTGCACAGAGCGACCACACAGTTAACAATTATCAACATTTAACCAAAAATTGGGCTGCATGTGTTCAGAGAACTAATGTTAGTCTGATACCTTTGATATGTTCTGTTTTTTGTTTGTTTGTTTTTTGTGACTATCCCTACAGTGTATTTTAGGAGTAGGGCTGTGTGATATGACCAAAATCTCATATCCTGATGTAAGACATCTATCGTCCGATAACAATATAAATCACAAAAATTTTACATTTTCTGTAAATTCTGTGAATCTCGGGCAGCTTGACTTGCGTGAAGTGTTTCCAGCTGGGCCTGGTGTACCTTGAGTCAAGTGTTTTAACCGATGCATGAAACCAAGGGCTTAGAGTTGGCATGGAATTTGATAATGAATTGATAATGAATAATGAATAATTTGATCTCTTCGAGTAAAGGGAAAAAAAAAACCCGATAGAAAGAAAAAAAACGATCTGTCAGCGTCTCATTCACCCAGCGGTGCAGAAAGCGTTAAATTACTGGAGCCCTACCTCATGTGACAAATATGGGCAATGTGATTGGCTGTGCCTCTCAGGGAGCTCTGTTTAGTTTTAGCAGCGGCAAGCCTGCGCTGCGAGGACCTGCAAGGAGGAGAGGAGGATGGCAGCAAAAAGGAAGAACCTGGATATAAGAAAGTGTTTTTCAAAGAAACCTGTAAGTCACTTAAAGCCAAGTTAACTCATAAAATGTGTCCGTCACAATAACGTTACAGGCTATGCTAGGCTTTGGCCCACATCAGTCTAAAATTGTATGTAACCACGAATAACGTGTTTTGGAAACTAACTGCACAACATGCAGCACTATTAGTTATCTCAGTCTCAGAGCAGCATTTCTATTTTTGATTGAAGGTGTCAGAGAAAACAGCAGCCTCGAGCAAGCCAGTATATTAGTTTACAGAGGCTGTTAGAATTATATGTCTAACGTTAAAATGTTGGAGACACAATAATTTCATCCTAATGGTAATGATAATTTCATAGGGTTAATTTTTGAGACAAAATATCACAAAGTAGTCATGATTTTGCAAATATTCCACCTTGTAGTGCAGTTTGCACAAATTGTTTTTAAAATGCACTCACACTACAAACATTACTGATGAGTCTAGATCTGCACAAACTGACAGAAACACTGAAGCAGCTCCACATTTTATTCTTATTGTCATGTATGTCCTATTTGTCAGGTGACAGGTGAACCAACACAAAGCTCAGAGATCAATGGTGATACAAGATCACAGGTGAAATTGGATGATGACTTGTTGGTTCATGACTGTATTTGAAGCACATGTGTGACTGCATGCATTTGGAATGTCTTACTGTTATTTATCAGGTGACAGAGGCAGCTCTGCCATGTTGTAGCTCGGACAGGGGTGAAGAGGCGAGGTCACGGGTGACTGATGTTATGGTGCTATAGATTAACGAGAGGAGCAGGCATGTGTTTGGCTCTTTCACATAGTGGACATTGAGTTGTTGTGTGGGACACCAGTAGTCCATGTCTGTTGCTGTAACAGTAGTTCATGTTTAGAATAGAAAATCCCAGCTCACTCACAGTCATTTTTTTAATAGTAATTTAACATTATATAGTTCACATATAAAACTATGAATTGTAATTTTAAATGGTTTAAAAGCATGTAGAATAGCATATGTAGGCCAGTATATTTCTCCTTTTATCAAGAAGCAAAGACAAAAAGGGAAAAAAAAAAGAAACAGGCAGCGTTCGGTGGTTGAATCATCCGACCCCACCAATGCCTTAACCAAATCTACGCCCTTGCATGAAACTATACATTTTTAGACATAAGTTGTAATGGCCGCCGTTGTCTTTGTGAGTATTTATTACACGGCGTGCTGCGGGGAAAAGCCTGTTCTAACGTTTGAGTCTAAGGTTTATTTTTTTAGCACCTGGCGGCTCTTTTTTTAATTCTCATCCAGAAACACTCTGCATCTTTCACGTGATTCAGTTTATTTTGAAAAGTCTCAACAGGATCTTGAGCTTTATTGTGAAAGGTTTATGTGGAAAATAAACAAGCGGACATGCGATGGTTTTACCGTTGTTGTTGCTAGGGACAACGCATAAAAACAGGCGCTTGTCCATCTGTAGCGTGGTTATATTAAATATAAGAGAAAGAGAGAACTTTAAGACATTAATTTAGCCACTACAGTGACCATCAAAACCATGAAAAAACATTGCCGTACACAGTTTATTTTGCGACACCACGAAACAAACGATAGCGTAAAATGAAACGATAGACGTTTTTATATCGTCATCCGATATATATCGTTATATTGAACAGCCCTAGCACTGAGGTCATAACATTGAGTTTTACTGTATATGTTTTTATATTTAGCCCTGCTTCTAATACTTACCTCACATCCAGGTTTATTACTTTAGGGGTGTGGTCAATGTCCTGTACCCAATATTTATTATAATATGTAGTTTATAAACAGGAAGTATAAATACAGTGCTGTCTTGTAAGAACTTCACCACCTATGACTAGGTCAGGGGTCAGCAACCCGCGGCTGACTGAAGAGCATGCGGCTCTTTAGTCTTTATTATTAGAAGTATTTAGCTGAAGTGTATTTTATTTGTGTTTAGTTCTTTTTTTACCTTGTAGTTCTAAATTGGAAGATTATTGTGATTTTGAAATATAAAAATAAAATTATATTCTATTATTTTTTCATCGATCAAAATAAGC